ATTACGTGAATGCCGAGAGCTATTCAATTTTAAGGAGTCCATAAGATACTTTGGTACTGCGTGTTAAATTCTCCTATAAAATATTGCACATTTATTAATACGAGTTTCTGCGTAAAATGGCAGCCATTTCAATTTGTTGAAAAGCACAACAAAAGAGGGGCGTGGTTCTGCATCGAGTATAATCTTAGCTGCTCTCTTTTGGAGACGTAGAAGGCGTAATAAACATTCATTCGTTACTATGGATTACCAAACAACGCTGCCATAAATGAAAAGTGGCCTTATAGAAGAATTGCAATAAAGAATCCTTTGCCTTAATCTTGTTCAAAATACCAGTTCTTTGCCCTAATTTCTTACTAATTCTATCAACGTTATTTGAAAAAGAAAGTTCTGTATCTATGTCTACTCCTAATAACTTCACTGATAACTTCGTGATAACTTCCTGATAACTTCCTGATAACTTCACTGATAACTTTCCGATAACTTCCTGATAACTTCCTGATAACTTCCTGATAACTTCACTGATAACTTTCCGATAACTTCCTGATAACTTCCTGATAACTTCCTGATAACTTCCTGATAACTTTCTGATAACTTCCTGATAACTTCCTGATAACTTTATCACAACTTCCTGATAACTTCCTGATAACTTCCTGATAACTTCCTGATAACTTCCTTCAACCATTTAGCGAAAAAATCCGCCTTCTGCGTTGACTTTGATTGATCAGAACCAAAGCAAAACGTATTTAGCCCTTTATAAATCGTCCAGATTAGAACTTTATTAAACGTCTTGAAATAGATTGAGGGCCTGCTGTTTATATTTGTCAGAATTTTATTCCACCATTTTATTCAAAGCTTTTACCTTCAGTTACTATTGTAAGACAAATTTCATTTTTTATTTGCTTTCCTTAATAAAATAAGTTAAGTTTACAGATCTTTCAAAGTGGCTTTTAAAAAAACCTTGAATTAAGAAGAGTAGAGGAATGACGGGAATATAAGATCGAGGGTGAATTGCTTCAAGAGGAGCGAAACACTTGATAAAACATTAACATAAATGATTGAGAAATGAAAAACGATCAGTTTTGAGTTTAAAAATGCATGTGTACCGTGCAGTTGAATAATCAGCTCACAGTTCTGTATGTTCGGTGTGAGAGCCGCCAACCTGGAAAAGTAATGAAATAAAAAAACAACCAAAGTGGTGTTGTCTTGAAGAATGATCTCAATAGGGTTAACCGTTAGCCGTAAAACGGCCAAAAAAAATTAACTATTAGGCGTAAAAAATTGAAAAATTTTGACCGTCAGCCGTAAAAAACAATTAACCATAAAAAATGATTTTGGCGGTGACCACGATTGAAAGATTTTAACCATTAGTAGTAAATAAACCAAAATTTAACTGTGAGCCGTAAATATCTGCACTCCATTGAGACCCTCTTGAAGTCGTATGTGAATCTGTTAAAATAATTTTCACAGAATTCTGCTAGAAATTTAAATTGCTTCGAATTCGCTCGAATATAAATACGTTTCGAAAATTGAAAAACACCCAGTGTTGACGGCATATGGTATTTCGTGGACTGGACTGGACTGCACTGGACTAGTAAAGCGCGGACTAGTAAAACGCTAACTAGTAAAACGCGGACTAGTAAAACGCAGACTAGTAAAACGCAGACTAGTAAAACGCGGACTAGTAAAATGCGGACTAGTAAAACGAGGACTAGTAAAACGCGGACAAGTGAAACGTGGACTAGTAAAACGCGGAATAGTAAAACGCGGACGAGTAAAACGCTGACTAGTAAAACGTTGATTAGTAAGACGCAGACTAGTAAAACCCGGACTTAACAACAACAACAACAACAAAATTTCACACGAAAGCGATCACAAGACTTAGTGGCGAGCCAATGTAGTGAGTGACAATCCCTGTTTGACATTTAAGCTACAAATGGGTTTGTCATGCGCCAGATACAAACGATTTTATAAGTGTTGGGGTTTTTTTTACCACTCGCTTGGCGAATTAACAAGAGGTACCAAGACTCTACACTTTTCTTCTTTTATTCTCTTCTCTTCTATTGTTGCTACTACCTTCTACTACCACAGCTATTTTTCTTCTAACTTCAGCAAGGAGTGCCCTCTCATTTAATGTAAAAATCACAGACATGTTTGCGTTAGCTGATCGTGGGAATTTCCAAAACAGGATATTCAGTGTGGGTAAAACTCAAGGTCAGTTTTACCAACCCAAACATAACCACCTAGCAAACTAGTTATCCTCAACAATAACAAGCGATTAAAATGTCTAGCACGGTAAGAACTCAGCCAAGTTCAAGCACACACTAAAAATAAATGATCAAAACTATAGATCTGCCAAAATAACAGCGTAGACGCAAAAAGGCGAGGCTCATCAAAACAAAAGGTAAACCTAAAAATACTCGAAATAGCAATCCTTTAAAATGCTGTACAACATAAGTTTAGGCTCAGAAAGAATTTTATTCAGCACCAGTTCAAAATCCTAATTTTGTTGCATCGAATCATTCAGCAGCCAGTTGAATAATTTGTTTCATGTTTTTTCTTGTTTGTAAATCGAATAAAACTAAACGGAGACGGACATAACAAAAAAAATTCATACAAAGGCACAAGACTTAATGGCGAGTAAATAGTTGTATCCAGAAATGAACGTGATTGTATTGTGGGTCATAGCAATAAAAACTGCATAAGTTGGAGAAGCGAGCCGAGAATTTTCGTTTTCTAACAATCCGAAATGCTACACAAATCTCTGAACAGTTCAACGACATCAATAACAATTAACGCTCTACCTCGAAATAAGAGGTATCATAGCTGCTAACAGTAACGGACAATACAAATCTACAAATGAAATTTATATTGTAATTTAGCGTAAATTTTGGTGCGAATCTTTGATGAGATCAAAGGTCAACAGACCCATTTCCGTTTCCTGTAGCAAAATAAGGGACCGTCGATCAATACATATATGTTATTCGCCAGCATAGGTCGGTCCGTATTGGGAAAAACTGTGCCTGAGGTATTAGGTACCGCCCGAGGCCTACGGCCTTGGGCGGTACTCAAGACCGAGGGCACAGTTTTCCCCAATACGACCGACCTATGCTGGTGAATAACATTTTTATTTTTTTCTAACATATAAAAAGGATGATTGCCAAAAGAACCCAAATGATTTAGGATACAATTACGAGTTTAATTACGGAAAAATCCTTCTTGAACTTAACAATTTGATAGCGAGTGAGTTATAAAGAAAACAAACGTTATTCAAATTAAAGAGAAAGCTTTCGCCGAAACATTTTTATTTGTAAAGGTGATTAAAGGCTTCCGAGCAAATTTTGAAACATTTTTTCCATAAGTAACTGTCACGATGTGACACCCGTCAATTGAAGAGGAAAGAAGCATACGCTAAATAGCAGTACTGGTGTGACAAACACACACGAGTTAAATGATCATGGGACGATTTTATCGTAAAAAGAAAAACAGTTAAAGATCTTACGGAAAGTATTTTTTATTTCCAAGGACGATTAATCTTCGAAGATTTACCGCTGTTCCGTTTTAAAATGTCACGGAAAGTCAAATTGTAAGTGAATGCAAATATGTGTTTTGGAGTTGTCAGTCTGCTTGTTTGTTTTCTGTAATGGCGTGTGTAAATCGGTTTTTCTTCCACCGAAAAGCTGAAGTCAATGAGACTCTTTCTACCTAGACACAAGGAGATTTAATGCGACTTTTATTCATCGAATTCCTGCGTTTCTGCCGTGAAATTTACGACGAAAGTGTATTTTAGGATTTTGAACTGGTGCTGAATAAAATTCTTTCTTAGCCTAAACTTATAAATTCGTTTGTATCTGGCGCATGTCAAACCCATTTGCAGCTTAAAAGTCAAACAGGGATTGTCACTTACTAAATTGGCTTGCCATTAAGTCTTATGATCGCCTTCGTATGAAATTGTTTTTTTTGTTGTTGTCGTTTTACTAGTCCGCGTTTTACTAGTCCGCGTTTTACTAGTCCGCGTTTTACTAGTCCGCGTTTTACTAGTCCGCGTTTTACTAGTCCGCGTTTAAGTAGACCGCGTATAA